ACTGATGCCACAGAAACAAAAAGATTGCAAGAGAATATGACGAACAGTTATATGCCAATGAATTGCATAACCTAAAAGAAATGAAGACATTGCTAGAAACACACAATCAAGAAGGACTGAATCCGGAAGATTCGGGATTCTGAATCAGAAATCTGAAAAGAGGAACATGAATATGGAGATTGAATTGGTTCTCAAAAATCTCCCAACAAAGAAAAGTCCAGGACCAAATGGCTCCACTGGTGAATTCTACCAGGCTTTTCAAAAAGATTAACAGCAATCCTCCTGAAACACCTCCAAAAAAATTGAAGAAGAGGAACCTTCCAAGCACATTCAATGAAGGCAGCACTCTCCTGATACCAAAACCACACAGAGGATTATACACCATTGCCAGCAATATTCCTGGAATGCAACCATGATTCAGCATACAAAAATCAATTATGCCATACCCCACATTAACAGAACGAAGGGAAAAAACCACACAGTCATCTCAGTTGATGTAAAAAAAAAAAAGCAAGATTCCACATACTTTTTTTGATAAGAAAGAAAAAAAAAACACTTAGACTAGGAACGGAAAACAACCTCTAGCCGGTCTCGGTGGCTCAGCCTGTAATCCCGTGTTTTGGGAGGCTGAGGTGAATGGATTGCCTGAGCCCACAGGTTCGAGAACCACCTGGGCAACTTGCTGAGACCTCATCTCTACAATAAATCAAAAAATTAGCCGGGCATGGTAGCGCGTGCCTGTAGTTCCAGCTACTGGGAGGGCTGAGGCGAAAGGATCGCCAGAGCCCGGCAGGTTGAGGCTGCGGTGGCCGGGAGTGTGCCACTACACTCCAGTCTGGGCGACAAGAGTGAGACTCCAACTCAAAAACAAAAAACCTTAGCATAATAAAAGCCATAGATGACAAGTCCACCAGTAATGTCACACTCAATGGTGAGAGATTAAAAGCTTTTCCTCTAAGATTAAAGCAAGACGATGATGCCCATTCTCACCACTTTTACTCGATATAGTACCGGAGGTCCCAGACAGAGCAAGTATGCAAGCAAAAGAGGAAAGAGGACATCCAGATTGGACAGGAAGAAGCAAAATGACTCTGTCCTCAGATGGCATCGTTTTATTTGTAGAATACCCTGAAGGTTCCCTAAAATGCTGTTGGGACTACGGAGCCAATTCAGCAAAGTGGCGGAACACAACAGGAGCACACAAAGATCAGCCCAACTTGAGGACTCAGGTTGCAGACCCCGACATCCCTGTGCAGTGACTTGGGAACACACTCTCTCTGGTTCTCAGTTTCCCCATCTCTGGGGGGGTGGATAACAGCAACACCTTCCTCGAAGCGCAGATGTGGGATTCAAATGACCATCTGCCAGGGCTCCTCAGCCTTCCCCCACGGCATCCTGTGTTCATGTTTTTAGCAGAGTCTCAAGCTAAAGCTCGGGGAAAGGGAAAAAGGAAGAAAGAGCCACCAAGCAGAGGGAGCCCAGCTACCTCCAGGGCACAGGCCCTTTCCGACTCAGCCCCCTGCCTGCCACATGTGTCTGCCGAGCTGCCTCCTCACCCTCGAGCTGCCCGAGGCTCCCTCCCACCTCTGTGGGCTGGGGTACAACGCCTTCCACAGCGAAGAAGCCAGAAGCCTGTGTCCCGGAGGCGGCCGCTGGTCACCAGACAGAGCCACGACCCCCACTCCAGGATCAGCGTGTCGACTCCCAGCCGTGGTGTCACGCGGATGCTTATAAGTGAGCCTGCCCAAACCTATTTGTGGGGAAATGGTTTTGCCTTGCATTTTTCAGCTTATTAGACCCTCTGGGGTTGGCTTGCTCCTGTGTTCACTTACAGACTCGGTCCTGCGTCCTTACTAGCAGGTCTACACCTGGGGGCCAAGGTTGCGAGAGTCCCCTTCGAGGAGCCACAAGTTAGGGGGACAGCTGCGCAAAGCGAGGAGGCAGGCTGGCAGCCCAGATCCTACAGGGAGCTTTTCCTGCAGGCTCCGAGGTGGGTCACAGATCAAGGCACCTAGTAGAGAAGAAGGATGAGGCTGTCCAGGTAGGAGGGGCCCTGCCTGAGGCTAAGGGCAGAAGAGGCTGGGGTGGCGTCTGCACTGCCCGGGGGCCTTCGGGTCAGCCTGCGTGCCCAGGAAACAGGAAGGAGAGGGAAGTCTCGGACAGCGATGCCGTGGTGAGGGGGTGCTGCCTGGAAGGTGCCGGGTGGGGTGGGGCTTCCAGAACAGAGGAGAGGGCGCAATTCTGGAGGGGCTGAGGGGTCCAGCTGCAGAGCTGGGGGGCTGGGGGTGGAGAGGAAGCCGGGATGGGGCCAGGAGACCCTCTGGGCTCTGGTAAGCACAGCAGGGTCCCGGGGGCACCTTCTCAGGGACAGGCCTAGAGAAAGTGAGGGCTCAGCCTGGGACATCTTGATCCAGCCACACGATTCAGCCCCTCTGTGCATTGATTTCTCTGCTGGGAAAAGAGACCTCACTCCCAGGCTTTCCCATGAAGGACCTTGAAAAGACATGTGAACTAGCAGCGTCTCTGACACTCTCACTGCCTCACCCCACCAGGCACCAAGGACAGAAATGAAAGGTGCTAAGCATTCAAGTCTAATCAAGCCTTTGCTTAACCTTGAAAGTTGCCCACTTTCAAGACACAAAGGCTGTGGCAGGAGGCTGGAGAACCTGCCTGAGAGCGGGCTCCCCTCGGGAGCGGGGTCCAAACGTCCGGAGGTCAGGGGGTGAAGGCCTAGCCCCTGCTGTCCCCCTATGCTGCCCTGCTGTCCCTGTATGAGTGGCAGTTTTATGCCTGACCCAGGTCCCCCGAGACCTGGGTGAGTCTGAAAGTGTGCCACTGAAATATGTCCTTACTCTGTCCTCGATGCCTTTTCTTTAGTATATTCCTCTTTCTTCTAGCTAATTCCTCATGGTTGACACCCACGTAGACCTGTGCTACCTCCTATCTACATCAGGACACGTATTCTATCTTGGGATGTAGGGAGACAAGTCACAGGGTCTCAGGGCTCCTGGCCCAGCACCTTTCCCTGAGAACAGGCCAGTGTGTGATGGGTGACGTTCTAACCAGACACCCCAGGATGAAGAAGACAAGCTCATTCCCGTGAAATGAGACGAAAAGCACCAGAATCTTCCTATTACAGGCACAAAGACAGGGGCCTTCCCCAAGCTGGCCTCTGGCCCTGGGCACACCCTAGAACCCGAGGGCAGAGCCTGGGGGTCGCCCCTTCCCCAGCACCCCGGGACAGCAGCTCAGTCCCAGCGGGAGTGCACCTCGAGAGCCTCAGGTGGGGTGGCCAATGACAACCAGACCTTTTCTTTTCTGTGGTCTGATGCTCGGACGTCTGGGCCTTGCTGACCCTGGAGGAACTTTCCCTCCCAGGGCCAGCAAGTTCCTAGAGAGAATAAAGGACTCCCCTGTGACCACCCTTCTCATATGTAAACCAACCACCCAGCACCCACACCTGCACCATGGGCCTCACACTCTGGGGCCACTGTCCACCCACCCTCATCACCCAGGGCAGGTGCCAGACAGCCCCTGTGCCCAGAGCCTAGTGAAATGTTCGAACCAGCCAGTTCTGAGCCTGCTCACCCTGCCTCGCCCGTTGTTTCCCATGGAGTCCACAGCAAGGGCTCTGGCTGCTCTCCCCTGGCTCCTTCTGCCTCCTGACCGACCCTGGAGGTCCTCCATTTGGCTCCATGGCGAAGTACGCCCCTGCTCTGGGGAGCGGTGAGCAACAAACTGTCTCTCCCATCTCATGACCTGCCGGCCTCTCCATGCCTGCGTCATAATGAGCCTGCATCCCAGCACAGCCCTGCCTTCTCTCCGAGGAGCTGGCTCGCGGTGGCCCAGGCACCAGGCTGCCCTGCTCCTGCCCAGCCCGTCTCCGGCGCTCCCCGGTCAGCCTGCGCGTCCCCTCCCCGGAGCCAGCGGGCCGCACCCGGCAACTGCTTTGGGATCCCGTCCCTCAGCACTGTGCCCACGCTGTGTCCCCCCCGTGCGGCTTCTCTCAGCTGGGGCCACCTGCTGCGTGCCCACCTCCCCCTGGACTGCAGCACTGAGCCCAGGGCCCAGGAAATGCTAAAGAGAAGCGCACGAACCTTCTGTCACGGCAGAGCCACCTTGCCGTGGACTCTGCTCACCAGGAGACGTCCACTCAGGTGTTCCCGCCACAGTGTGGGCTTCACGGCTCCTGTGCATCTCCGGGGAGCACAGATAACCCAGCCTGTGCCATGGCTCATGGGTGACCCTGGGCAGGTGCCCTGCGCTCCATGCCTCAGTTTCCCCATTTGGAAAAACAGTTTTCCGGCCGGGCTCGATGGCTCAGCCTGTCATCCCAGCACTTTGGGAGGCCGAGGTGAGTGGATCGCCTGAGTCTGCGGGTTCGAGACCCGCCCGGGCAACTTGGCGAGATCGCATCTCTACAATAAAATTTTTAAAAAATTAGCCGGGCATGGTAGCGCGTGCCTGTAGTTCCGGCTACTTGGAAGACTGAGGCGGAAGGATCGCCTAAGCTCAGTAGGTCGACACTGGGGTGGCCATGAGTGTGCCACAGCACTCCAGCCTGGGTGGCGGAGTGAGACTCCAACTCAAGACAAAGAAAAAGAAAAACCGTTTTCCCCGTTCACACTGCCTTTCTCATGGGAATTCTGCGAGGCTTTCGGGGAGCCCTCTTTTAAGGGAAGCTTTGGGCAGAACCACCAGTAAGACTGACCATCAGCCCTTCCTGGAATAAGGGATGTGCTCACCGCATGGGCACGGACACTGAGGCTCAGGGTTGCGATCGCTGCCCAAGGTGCCAGTGGGTCTGGGGCAGCCTGCACGGCTCCTTCCCAAGGCTTTTCCGGGCAGGCCACATCCTGGGGTCTCCCTCCGCGTGCCCAGGGTGTGCCTGTGCGCCTCCCTCCCAAGAACAAGGCCTGGAGTCAGGCCCGCTGCACCACTCAGACCCCTCCCAAGGAGCGCCCTGCAGACCGTGCCTAGGGCACAGAAGGGGGGCCTACCTGGGCTAGGCCGGAGTCCTTGTCAACCCTCGGGGGCTGGCTCTCAGGGCCAAGCTCCTCACCCCCATCACTGGCGGCCTCCTCCGGGGGGGCGTCCCGCAGGACCTGGCTGTCCAGGGTCGCCTGGGGGTGCAGCCCCGGGACAGCGGTGCCCGGGCCGGCCTCACCGCCCTCCTCGCAGGGGAAGTTCTCCCCGGCCACGCTGGAGGACGGGCTGTCGATGCCGCTGTCCCGGTTGGGGATCTTCGTGCCGCCGCTCAGCTCCCCGACGAGGCCAATGTCTGGGGCGCCGTCCCCCGCTGCAGCCAGGCTGCCAGGGCCCCCGCTGCGGGCCCCGGGCCCCACAGGGAGCACTTGGAGCTTCCCTAAGGAAGAGCCACCAGGCCCGGCATCTGGGACTCCCAGCGCAGCGACGGGTCCTGGAGGGGCTGAGGACCCCTTGTCTGGCTCCATCCTCAAAAAGCCCACCAGGGGCTTCCTGTGGGAGAGAAACAAGCCTGGCTCAAAGCCAGCCACATGTATGCCAGGGTTGCAGCCTCCCCTGCACACATAACCCTCAGGCAGGGACCCCCTAGAAGCCTCAGGGCTGGGGGCCGTGGACGTGAGAGCCCGGTCAGCTTCACTTGAGTCCTCTGCAGACAGGCTTTGGGGCACAGCAAATGGAGAATGCTTTGTTTTAAGGTTAACTTTCTGGGTTGGGCTCGGTGGCTCAGCCTGTAATCTCAGCACTTTGGAAGGCCGAGGCGAGTGGATTGCCTGAGCCCACAGGTTCGAGACTCAGGCAACTTGGCGAGACCTCGTCTCTACAATAAATAAAAAACTAGCTGGGCACGGTGGCGTGTGCCTGTAGTTCCGGCTACTCGGAAGGCTGAGGCGGAAGGATCGCCGGAGCCCAGCAGGTCGAGGCTGCGGGGGCCGGGAGCGGCCACTGCACTCCAGTCTGGGCGACGGAGTGAGACTCCAACTCAAAAAAAAAAAAAGATGAACTTTCTTGTACATTAAAAAGAAAGTAATCTTGCAGCACGAAGCTAGCTGCTGCTCAACAAGTTCAAAATGCATGCCCCAAACCGTGACAAGAACCAACAGAGGCTCAGTAGCTTGGGTCTATTGCTTTCCAATCCTGTGATACTCCCAGGAGGTGAAGCCAGTGTCCCGTGGTCTCTTCCTCGTTCTTCTCCTCCTCCCTGCACGCTCGGTCAGGCATGAAAACAGCCTCCAGAGGCCCCAGGTATCCCCCAGCCTCCCTGGGAGACAGCCAGGCCGGGAGGTGGGTCTTGCGGAGGAGGCAGACCCAGGTTTTTGCCCCCAGCTCCTCCTCCCTCGCCCTGGCCTCCCACCTCTCCTGGAACCCTCTCCGGCGAGAGGGAGGGGAATTCTGAGTGCACAGAGAATGTACCAGGCACCGCTGGGAAGGATGGAAGGCGGCCCTGAACTACAGAGAGGCTGGCATTCCCTTCCGGAACCTGAGGCGAGCCGTGGAGGAGCCAAGGACCACGGATGACGGGCACAGATCCCCCTACCTGTTATAGTTAACTTCTCCGGCGAAGGTGCTCGGGGTGGGCAGGCGGGTGCCTGACTCCCTCCTGGGGCCTGATGCTCGCTGGCGGGGTCTCGCGCGGGGCTGAGGGGATTCCTTGAGCTTCTCTTTCTTGCCCGGCAGGCTCCAAGTGGAGCTGTTTAGGAGGTGCTGAAAAAATATCAGAGAAGAATGAAGACCACCTTCTCCAGCTGGCATCTGGGGCAGCCAGAGGCCCCGGATCTAAAGGGAGGGGGTGGAGGAAGCCAGCTCCATGCCACTGCCCAGCATGGTGGACCCCAGGAACACGGCACAGGCATCCGCACAGCCCTCTCCTCCAGACCAACACCCACAACCCCGAGAAGGCAGGCCTATACCAGGGGCCACACATGGTGGGGTGCACAGTGTCTCAGCCGGCTGGAAACTCTGGGGCCAGGATGGAGCTTGTCCCTGGCCATCAGCACCCCACAGCCAGGGGGAAGGGTCCCTGCAAATGTGCAGGCACCGCCCTGCGTGAGGAGAACTAGCGGGCACCACCAGCACCCCCAACCCACACCCCACACTCTCATCCAGATAAGCACACACAGTAGGTCCCTCGCACACTCACACTGACATGCTGGCTCCCACGCACGCTCAGATCGTCTTCTGCCAGCAGCTCCTTAACTCGCTTCCTTCCTCACTTGCCAGGCAGAATCAAGGGCAATCGGTGAAGAAACGACCTCCACACCCTCCCTCAGACGCAGAGAAAGTCGCCCCAGAGCCTGCCCCTTGTGCCTGGCCTGGGCAGGGCTGTCTCCAGGCAGGGCCTGGGGCAGGCTCAGGCGCCAGCAGCCTCCCCGGTGGCCGTAGAGGCTCCATGCAGGGAGCACCCACCTCCCAGCACAGGCTCCGGAGTGCTCGCGAACCCGGGCCTCGCTACTTTGGAGCAGGCCTTTGGAAGAGGCTCCAGAACCACTCGAGAGCTGGACATTTTATCATTGGCTGTGGCCACATTCTTGCCAAGCTTGACAGAGAGCAATGCTAAGATTTATCAACAGAAAAGACATGTTTGGCTGCATTCTTCTCATAGCACAGGAGATAAACTCGGGTTTCCAGAGGTCAGGTATGACACGGCAATAAAAACACCCCAGATGGAATGTGAGCTGTGCTCAGACTCTGTGCTCAAAAGCAGCGGTGCAGCAAGGCAAAGCCTGATTCAGCCCCACCTCAGGGGAATTATGCTTCTGGTCAAGATGGAGTCATAGAAACCAGACTTACTCTCGCCCGACCCAACAAAAAATGAACGCAACATAGGAAACAACAGCTCTTTAGACTGTGCGCCAGGCAGCAAAGCACCCTGATCCTCGCAAGACGAGAACAAATGAGGTGACCCTTCTGTTGCCCCAGCTCACCTCCTGGAAGCCACTTCCAGGTGATGGATCAGGGAAGAACCCAATGGACTTCCTGAGGTGAGAAGATCAAACCGGTCGTCCTGGGAGACCGGGTGCTCAGAGTTCACAGGACAGAATTCTGGAGAGCAGAGAGTTGCACACACAGAGAGAACCTGGAATTCTGCAGAGGGGCTGTTTGCCCTCGCGGACTGTTCAGCTCGTGTGTGAGAGGAAAGTACATGAGGCTAGAGAAAACCACCTGAGAGGCCCGGGGGAGCTCGCACAAGGCAGAGACACACCTACTCCCACCAGCCAGCCTGGAAAGCCTCAGGGTTCGCATGGGGCATTAGGTTGTGTGGCTAGTGCTCTGGTCCCGTCTAAAAACTCAACAAAAAGACCAAACAAGCCGGGCTCGGTGGCTCAGCCTGTCATCCCGCGCCTTGGGAGACTGAGGTGAGTGGATTGCCTCAGCCCGTGGGTTCAAGACCCGCCTGGGCAACTTGGCGAGACCTCATCTCTACAATAAATCAAAAAATCAGCCAGGCGTGGTAGCGCGCGCCTGAAGTTCCAGCTACTTGGAAGGCTGAGGCGGAAGGATCGCCGGAGCCCAGCAGGTCGAGGCTGCGGTGGCCGGGAGTGGCCACTGCACTCCAGTCTGGGAGACAGAGTGAGACTCCAACTCAAAAAAAAAAACCAAACAGTTTGCAAAACTTCATCCCTGAACAAAGGTCAAAAATACTTACAGGACTACAACATCCAGCAAAGTAAAATTCACAATGTCTGGAATCAAATAAAAAATTACCAGGCACAAAAGGGACTATACATAATGAGGGGAGAAAACTCAATTAGTTGAATTGACACAGATGAATTAGCAGAAAGGGACACTGAAGTAGCTCTTATGCCTGTATGCCGTTGTGTTCAAAAATTAAACAGAGACATGGAAAATACAAAAAGTTCACTTCAAACTTGTTAGAGATAAAAACTACAAAGTGTGAGGTCTATAACTCACTGTAAAAAATTAATGCAGATTTGACATTGAGGAAGAAAAAGTAGTGAATTTGAAGAGACAACAATAGAAACTATCCAACACAAAATAGAGAGAGAGAGAGAGAGAGATCAGAGCAATAGTAAAATGTAGGAAAACTTCAAGTAGCATAATATATGTGTAATTGGAGTCCCAAAAAGGAGTGGGCAGAAAAAAAAATCTGAGGAAATAATGGCCAAGGTTTTTCCTGATTTGTTGGAAATTATACATCCTCAAATATAAGAATCTCAATGAATAACAAGCACAAGAAATGTTTGTAAATTTTTCCCATCGAAAACTCCAGGCCAAGAGATCTTCACTGGTGAATCTACCAAGCATTTAAGAAAGAGATGATACTAATTCTGCACAAATTTTTTCAGATCACTAAGAAGGGGGAGGGCCCGGTGCAGTGGCTCACATCTGCAATTCCAACATTCTGGGAGGGTGATAAGCAAATGGTGAGACCTTGTCTCCCCAAAAATCCCCCCAAATCAGCTAGGCATGGTTGTGTTCTCCTGTCGTTCCAGCTACTTGGGAGACTGAAGTGTAAGGATTGCCTGAGCCCAGCCAAGAGGTCAAGGCAGTGGCCACGATTGTACCAGCCTGGGCAACAGAGTGAGATCCTGACTCAAAAAACGGGGAAGAAATATAGCACGGATGAATCTCGAAATAATTATGCTGAATAAAAGGAACCAAACAAAGAAGACCTACTGTGTTCCCCATGAGCATGGAGTTCTAGGAATCATGCCAGGAAGATGATCATGGGGTGCCTGGAAGAAGCTTGTGGGGCGAGAGCTACAAAGGAGCACTGGGAACGTGAAGGAATGACGCGTGTGCTTATTCGCTCGATTGTGGTCATCGTTTCATGGGTGTACACGTATGCCAGAGCTCATCTGACTGAGCACTTTGAACATATGCAGTTAATGGTGTGCCAACGATGCCTCACAGAGCTGTTTAAGAAAAGTCCGAGCCAGGCTCGGTGGCTCAGCCTGTAATCCCGCGCCTTTGGGAGACTGAGGTGAGTGGACTGCCTGAGCCCGCGGGTTCGAGACCCGCCTGGGCAACTTGGCGAGACCTCATCTCTATAATAAATCAAAAATCAGCCGGGCGTGGTAGCTCACGCCTGTAATTCCGGCTACTTGGAAGGCTGAGATGGAAGGATCACCGGAGCCCAGCAGGTCATGGTGGCCGGGAGCGGCCACTGCCCTCCAGTGTGGGCAACAGAGTGAGACTCCAACTCAAAAAAATACAAAAAAATAAAAGTCCATCCTGGTCGTGCCTCGACCTGCTGGACTCCGGCAATCCTTCTGCCTCAGCCTTCCACGCAGGTGGAACTACAGGCGTGCGCTACCACACCCGGCTGATTTTTGCTTTATTGTAGAGATGAGGTCTCGCCAAGTTGCCCAGGCAGGTCTCGAACCCTCGGGCTCAGGCAATCCACTCACCTCAGCCTCCCAAAGCGCAGGTTTACAGGCTGAGCCACCAAGCCTGGCTGGTCGTGCTTTCTTTAAACCTCTGGCCCCCTCTGCAGTCTTGGAGAGGT